TTACAAGAAGGGTCTTCTCAAAACTATTACTTACACAGTGACATAGGCATACTCTCCACAGAACTGCTTTTGCACAATGTTCCGGACATCTGGGTTTTTCTGTTTGGACAAAGTATCTTCCAGCAGGGACATGAACAGCTTGGAAAACTCCTGGGCATCCTGAAAGAGAAAACCAAGTTCATTAACGATCTACCACAGAACAGTCCCAACCCTGTCACTAATTCACCGCTAATTACCCTGAGCCTCCACACAGGCTGCACTGAGGCTCCGTGCACTGCATGGAAAATAAAGCCCAGGCAGGAGAACTAAGGAAAACAGAGGAATTTGGCTAAAAGGAGCATGAGGCCCTCAGTGTGGGAGAACAGCGGGAGCTGCCCTGGCTTCCTGCCAGCCCCGCCAGGGGGCTTTGACTTCTGCCTCGCTCCTCCCAGGATTCTGGAAAGGATAAAAACCCTCCTGTAGAGCTTTCGAGCCCCTTGAACCTCATTTTTGCAGCTGTCCTTGCTCAGATCAGAGGTGAGAAGGGAAATAAAACTACCCCAAAAATGAGAAGCTGCCCTGCGGRTGATCTTAGCGAAGCTCTGGAGCTTCCCCACACCCAGCTTTGAGCCTTTCTCTCTCACCCTGGCTCTCCTCTCCCMAAAACAAACAGGTTTTGGCCCTTCCCAGCTGCCCTTTTCCCTGGTCAGCTTCCTTCCCCTTCTGACCCTTCCAAAGAGAAGTTTGCCAGTGCTCCAGCCCTTCCTYCAAAACCTCCCATTACCTCTCCAAGTGGATTTACAAGCAGTGCCACTCTCATGAGTTCTCTCCAGCTGTAGCCTCACAGCACTCACCTCCCACATGCTCCCCTTGAATCCTGACTGGATCCTGGTGATCCACCTCACCCTCAGGATCTTCTCACCCCTGGGAGGGTCCTTCCACCACCCAACAACCCCCCAGGGAGGAATAGCCCATGGAACATCTGCAGAAGGACCCTCACAACAGCTCTAGTTCTCACCTATCCCATCACTCCCTGGGATCCTCCTGATCTCACTGTCCTATTCCATTGATTCCTGTTCTGCTCCCACTCTCCCTGTCCTCATCACATCATTCCCTGGGCTCCTCCTAATACCACTGTGCTCCTGATGTCCTTGGGCTCCTCCTGTTCCCCTGCACCTTCCCCTTCACGTTTGCACTTAGAATCCAGACCACCTTGGGGACGCCCAATGACCACCCAAGACTTGTGGAAGTGTGAGGAATCCCCTCCCACATACCTGCTGCTGCCCCGTGTCCAGCCCCAGTGCCTTGACAAAGCCCGAGGGGTCGATGTAGCGCCGCTTGCTGTTCTGCAGCAGAGCAAACAGGTACTGCAGGTGCTCACATATGCTCTGGGGCTCATAATCTGGCAAAAAAACATAAGGCACAGGAGGAATTCAGGGTGAGAAGGGATCATTCCAAGTGCTTCAGKTGTTCTGTTTTTATCAGGGGAAATTAACTACTAAAAGTGATGATGTTGGAAGGTGGTGTGAGTTGTCAGGAAAACTGAAGTGGATCATGTAGGTGATGATGGCAAATCCCAACACAAGCCAAACAGAGAACAATTTAGGTCAGAAAAATCCCTTATGATCATCAAGTTAAACTGCAAATATTTGCTTTCTGCAACTTCCACACAGGAGGGTGGAACCAGGCTCTGCTCCCAGRGAACAAGTGACAGGATKAGAGGAAATGACCTTGAATTGCACCAGGGGAGGTTTAGRTTACTAGACAAAACTCCTTCAYAGARAGGGTGGTCAGGCACTGCAACAGGCTACTCAGGGCACTGGAGAAGTCACCATCCCTGGAAGTATTCAAAAATGTGTCACCTGGAGACACGGATTAATGGTGGACTTAGCAGTGCTGGAGGAATGGTTGGACTAATGATCGTGGAGGGGTTTTCCAACCTTAGGGATTCCACAATTCCATCCCACAGTGGCCAGCATGAGCTGTGAGTGAAGAGTTCACACAGCATGCACCAAGTACCCTGAAAAACATCTTCCTATTTGCCCCAGAAGGTGAAACATCATTTAAAACCACCATGAAACAGGAGACAGAAGCAGAGCGGAGGTGGCTGAGCTGACCCTGAGCTCCCCCAAGTAAAGCACTCAAGGCCAGGGAAAACTGGGGAGCCTTAATCTGACCTGGGACCCAAATTTCAGCCTTGTCATGGAATAAGTGCAGCTCTGTGACAGCACAGACCAGCCCTGATCCACATGTTCCACCCCCAGCACCACCACTAGACTGGGAACCACTTTGGGAAGCAAGAAACCAACCCAAAACATCATTTTCAACCAGCTCAGATCACTCTGATCTAAGACATCACCTGGATTAAGGTTGGCTCATTCTCAAAATCTGGTTGATGGCTCAAAACCAACAAGATGTGTGACTGTAACYTCACCCATGGATTCTCCTGATAAACCTTATCCCAGTGTGCAGTTTTAGGAGGAAAGGTGCAAATCCCTTTCTCCCACACACCTGTGTCCTTGGGAACACGGTCCCGGCAGGCGCTGGGGCACAAGTAGAGTGCCTGCCGCAGCTCCAGGTTCAGAAACCACATCTGCAGGAAGGTGTTGACGTAGCACGTGGCACCAAGGTTCGTCAGACCCACAAACGCATTCTGGGGGGGCAGARAAAGGGCCAGAGGTCACCTCCCCTCGTCCCCAGAGTCCTCCCCCAGGGCTGGGGTAAGGTTTGGGTGTACCTTCTTGCGGCGCTCACAGTTGGGGTCATCAATGTTGTGGAAGCTGTTCTCGTCGATCTCACCCAGCCACACGTGCTCCCCGATGCCCACCAGGCAGTTGGGGTTTCCCCGGCAGTTCCTCCTGAGGAGCCAGACCCCAATTGTCACCCCCATGTCCCTTGGGGGCTGGGAGGGGTGACACTGGGGATATGGGGGCAAGGACAAGGGGGACCCCATTATGTTGAACAGGGTGAGACATGGAACACACCCTCAAAAACAGTGATTATGGGGGAGGAAGGAAGTGGAGAACTAGAAGGGTTTTACCAAGCCCCTGTCGATAAAACGGGGGAACCCCAGGGGATAGTATGGGATCAAGGGCAACTCCTATATCTGGGAAGGGAGGTCCCCCCAACTCCAGGGTGAGTGGCCTATAAGCAGGCAAGGAAATGTGTTCCCTACAACCCATAGAAATCCCCTATAAATGGGGGACAAGCAAGGAGAGGGGTGCCCCACAACCCCATGGGGGCTTCCCTGTATGTGGAAGGCCCAGCAACAAGAGGTCCTCCACAATACCCTGGTGTGCTCTGTACCTGGTGAGCCAGGTAGGCAGGGGCTTCCCCCAGTCCCCCAGGGGAGTTCCCTACATCTGAAGAGTCAGACAACAAGAGTGGTCCCCACAACCCGGGGGCGGTCCCCGTATCTGAGCAGAGGATCCCTACCACCCCAAGGGAGTCCCCTCTATCTGGGGAGCCACACAGGGAGACCGTGCTAAGGGCCGCCCCAACCCCACGAAATGGGTGTCCTCAAGAAGGGAACACGGGGGAACCTCCACCGACCCCACGGGAGCTCGGCAGGGGCGGGGAGCGCCCGCGCCTCACAGGGGAGGGAACACGGGGGATCATCCGAGCCCTGCAGGCTGGGTAGCCCCCAGACCCCAAGCGCGCTGGAAGCGGTGGGGGAGGGATTCGGTGCCCGATCCCGCGGTACCGGCAGGCGCCGCGCTGGCAGGGCTCCAGCCGGACGCGATAGGCCGCCTCGATGTGCTCCTGCGCCACCGCCTCGGGCGGCACCGTCTCGGTCCAGCGCCACGCCGCCTTCTCCAGCTGCAGCCGCGGCGCCATCGCTGCCGCCGGCACCGCCCCGGCCCGGTGCTTGCCCCGCTCCTCGGCCCGGTCCCGGCCCGGTCCCGATCCCGCCCGACCCCTCCCGCCACCGWCAGGGCCCGTGACGCCACGAGCGCGACGCGCTGACGGCGCGAGACGCTGATGTCACAGGGCTGCGACGCGCGGGGCGCGGTGGGCGGGGCTTCCGATGTGGGGGCGTGGCTTGGGAGCACTGGGTAAATGTTCCTGTGCGCCGGGGGCGTGGCTTGAGGCCACAAGAGGCGTGGCTTCTGCGAGCAGAGGGTGGGGGCGTGGCTTGTGCGGCTCGAGGGCACGGCTCGTGCCGTGTGGGCGGGGGCCTGTGTGGCCGGTGGGCGGGGCCTGTGTGGCCGGTGGGCGGGGCCTGTGTGGCCGGTGGGCGGGGCCTGTGTGCCCGGTGGGCGGGGCCTGTGTGCCCGGTGGGCGGGGCCTGTGTGCCCGGTGGGCGGGGCCTGTGGCGCGGGGCCGCGCTGGGTCCCTTGGTCCCCTCCGCCATCCCCACCGGGCTCCCCAGAGGCCCCTCCAGGCCTGTTCTCCTGCCACACCCTCTGCAGTCCTGTGTCAGTCCCTCGGACCCCTGTGCTACTGCACCCCACRCCACAACCCTCCGGACCCCCTGAACCCCCACACCTCCATCCCACACCCCCTATACCACACTCCCCGCACCCCAGTACCACCCTTCCATACCMCACCTCCCTACATCATAACCTCCCGGGCCCCCGTACACTCCTGCACCCCAACACTGTGCCCTCCCAAACCCTCCAGGCCACTATATCCCCTCTCCTATACTCCTATAGCACCCCCAAACCATCTCGTTATATTACATGCCCCTGCACCCCAATACCACAGCTCCCCTGTATCTCCACACCACACCCACCAACACTCATGTCCCCCATAACATCCCCCCTGCATCCCAATTCCATCCCATATCCTCCTACCTCAATCCCCCCTGCACTCCCATCCCATCCCATCCCATCCCATCCCATCCCATCCCATCCCATCCCATCCCATCCCATCCCATCCCATCCCATCCCATCCCATCCCATCCCATCCCATCCCATCCCATCCCATCCCATCCCATCCCATCCCATCCCATCCCATCCCATCCCACCGTACCCCATCCTTGCCCCGGCACACACCCCCAAACAACAGCCACACTGGTTGTCTCTCCTTTAATAGCTGTCCCCGTGGGGAGTCCCTGCCAGCACCCCGATTGTCCCTCGCGCCCCCACATCACCACCACCCCCGGGGCACCCAGGCGGCCCGGCCGCCCTGGCACAGTTTCGGGGAGCCAGTGGGAGGTGGGTGTAAACATTTTTGGGGGTCCCGGCCCCCCCCCGGAGTCACCCCAGGGCAGCGAAGCACCGTTTCCCCCTTGTGGTTTTTTTTGGAAAAGAATAAAATTGGCTGAATTCCCCCCAGACTGCGTTTCCAAGGGTGTTAGGAGGGGCAGGGGGGCACGGGGGAGCCCCCCACAGCGCCGTGCCGGAGGTCGATGGGGTGTCGGGGGATCCCRGCAGACTCCAGCGCCAGTCCCCGCACGCACCCCGAGAGGCCGGAGCTGAACTTGCCGGCGGTCAGGGTGTGGGGGTCTGGGGCACCGCCTGCAGGGAACACGGAGGGGAAGTGGGTGGGGGGCAGCTGGTGCACCCACCCGTGTCCTGGCCGGGGACCAGCCCATGGCCATCTTGTGTCCCATCTGGTGTCTCCACCGAACATCCCATCCATGTCCATCCCACATCCCACCCTGTGTCCCATCCTGCGTCCATTCCATGTCTCCCCMTGCATCCCACCTTGCATTCCCATGTGCCACCCCATGTCCACCCTGTGTCCCATTCTGTGTCCATGCCTTATCCCACCCCATATCTGTGTCCCACCCCATGTCCATCCCCTGTCCCATCCCATRCCTCACCCCCTATCCCATGTCCATTCMRTGTCCATTCTGTGTCCATCCCATCTCCACCCTGCGTCCATCGTATGTCCTGTCTTCCGTTCAGTGTCACCTCCATCCCACATCTCCCACCCCATGTTCATTCTATGTYCTCTCCATATCCATTCCACATCCACCCCATGTCCATTTGTGTCCCAACCCATCCCCCTCCATGTCCCCCATGTCCCACCGTACCCACGTAGACGTTGCCCTCCGTGTTGGCCATGACGTTGGATCCAGGTGATTCCCCACTCACCGGCTCCTCTCCGTCCACCTGGAGCTGCCCACGCCGGCCCTCCCTGTGGGGCACCATCAGCACCTGCACCCCAATCCCACCCTGACCCCACCCCACCCCCCGACTCCCACCCACCTTGTCACCGTCACACGGTGCCACTCGCCATCATTGATGGGGTCTTCAGAGGTGATGGTGGCCTCGCCACTGCCCAGCTGGTAGCTGCAGGGGGGCATGGGGTAAGCATGCAGGGCACCTTAGGGGGCACCTTGTGAGGCCTGGGGGACCCCTGGGTGCCACATGTCATGCCACATGACACTGGTCCCCTCTCACCTGAACACCAGGTGCCCATCCWTCAACCCGAGGCCGAGGAAATCTTTGGCTTTGCCGCCCTCGCTGGGCTCCTGCGGGCACGGTGCGGGGTGAGCAGTGGGGGCACCCAGACCCTGACCCCGAGGGKGTCTCGCACCCCAGTGCCCTCCCTGTCACCCTGTCCCCGCTCTCACCGCGCCGTGCCACAGCAGCAGCCCCTGCGCGCTGTGCGTCCGCAGCTCCAGCTCGATGGTCTCGGGAGCCTCTGGAGCGCTGCGAGGGGAAGGGGGGTGATGGGGGCAGCACTCAAAAATGGGGTGGTGCCGTGGGTGGAGGGTGCAGCACCCACAGAGAGGGTGATGCCGTGGGTGGGGGTGCAGCATCCACTTCGGACGTCTCATGTCACTCACCCGCGAGGGAAGAGGTGCCCGGGAAGGGCCAGATAGGATCCGTCCTGGAATGTGGCACTGAACTGCCCAGGGGCATCTGGGGRGACACAGGGAGTCAGGCGGGGATGGCAGGAGGGAGCCCCACCTGCATTTTGCGTGGGGAAAAGGGGAAATGGGTGCAGGGACCCACCGCCAGCCCCRCTGCCCTCCTGCCAGTCCTGCTCCAGCTCTGCCAGCGCCGAGCCTGCAGAAGAGGGAGGGGAAAGGGCAGGTCATGTGCMCCCTTGGTGTCCCAGCTGTCTCCAATTGTTCCCAGGTATCCCCAGGTATTCCCCAAGTGTATCCTCAACCGTGTCTCCAGATGTCCCCCCACGCCCCCAGCTGTCTCCATGTGTTCCCACGTATTTCCAAGTATACCCAAGTGCACATGATCCTGGTATCCCCAGGTGTCCCATGTCCCCAGGGGTCTTTCAAGTGTCCCTAAGTGACCTCCTCCCATGTCCTCAAGTGTCTCCCCATGTCCCCAGGTCTCTCCCCATGCCCCCAGATGTTTCAAGGTGTCTCCAAGTGTCCCCAGTACTGGGGCATTTCCAAGTAACCCCACATTACCCCAAGTAACCCCTCCAGTGTGCCCCTGGAGTCCCTGGGGGTCCCCGTGCCTTTCGTTGTTCCTTTATGACCCTTCCACGTCCCCTGATGACCAGAGGTGTTCCTCTGTGTCTTCAAGTGTCCCCAGGTGTCCCCAGCTTGACCCTCCACATGTTCCTCCCTCACTGTGCTGGCAGCATCCCCAAATGCTCCCTGTGTCCCCAAGTGTCCCCAAGGTCTCCCCCCCTGTCCCTGCATTGTCCCCTCACGGTGCTGGCAGCGGGCTCCACTGTAACCAGGGGGGCACTGGCAGGAGCCATGGACACAGGAGCCACCGTGCAAGCAGGGCCAGGARGGGYGACAGCCTTCGGCCTCCTCRTCTTCCTCCTCCTCCTCRCAGCGCRGGCCTGGGGACAGTGGGACATGGTCACCGGGGGAGGAGGGGTGAGTGTGCATGGCACACACGGGTACGGCACCCATAGGGCACACTGGGCACACGTGTGTGCAGTGAACATGTGTGAGACCTGTGTGCACTTGTGGAACGTGTATGCGCAGTGAACATGCACACACGGGTACAGCCCACACAACATGCACACACACACACACACACACACAGAGCACACAGAGCACAGACCGAGCACATGTATGCACAGCACACGCTCACACACAGTGCACACACACACACAGACCCGTGCACAGCACACACGGATGCACAGCATGCACTCACACACAGAGCACATGCAGCTCACACACAGAGCACACGGATGCACAGCACA